ATCTCAACTCAAGGGCCCAGGCAGTTTTCAAGGCCCATTCAAGACTCCATGGTGGTTTTTTTGTAGGACAAGGTATTCTATATACCCTCGTAATCAGCCCAGCAATTCCAGTCTGCCTCCCTGAATTCCCCATGCAGTTTTGACTGTTCTTCCTCAGTTCCCAGCCTACTGTCGCACAGCGTTGTTGTGGGCCGTTCAAAAGCTGCCATGCTCCACCCCAGAGGCGGCTGCCTTTCAGAGACAGGCGAAGCAATGGCCGCAAGGCGGAACCGAAATTGAGGAGAGTGGCAAAAGCTTCTCCTGTGGTAGGGCCTGAGCAGCAAAGGCTGCCAATGAATTGGGATCGGAACAAGGGCCTCGCTTCCCCGATTTCTGCCTAGGCAGAGCCAGGGAGAGAAAGGGGTTGGCTTTTAAAGTGATCCGGATGGCTGCAAAGGACCGGGGAGCAGTAACGCGAGGCTCGGAACCGGCCGTGGGGCTGCGGGACGTCGTGCTTGGGTGAGGAAGGAATTAGGGGGCTGGCAGGATGCAAAAGGCTGCAAATGACGCGCCCTGGGGGCACAAGCCACTCGCCAGGCTGCGTCGGGAGAAGCCCCAGCGCGCGCCCGCTCTAATGAGCTGCTTAGGCGGATTTGGCTCAGCCCCGCCGGTGGCATTCGGAGAGGCCGGAATGCAGGGCCGGTTCCCCTGGCTCAGGGACACGACGGGCAGCCTGCAGCCCCGAGCTTTCCAAGCCAACCCCGGCCTCTCTCCGCTCCCTCCCGCTGCGTTTGATCACAGGCCCAGCTAGGTCAGGAAAATTCCTTCCAAGGGAACTGTCCGTGCGTCCCGCCGCACTAGAGAGGCCAGTCCTGGGGTGCGTGGGGGGGTGCGTCCGTGGGTGCCAGCCGGTTGGAGGGGATGAGCCCCAATCACAGTGTGTGCACAGCATGGGGGGGGGTCTCTGCTGCCCCCTGCTGGAGGGAACAGCCCTGATCTGTGTGTGCGTCCATGTGTCCCTGCTGCAGGGGATGTCCCGGCTTGGGTGCGCACAGGCTCCAACAGCCAGACTCGGCCGGTTCACATTTAAACAGGGTCTTTTGCTTCCTCTCGTCCCACCTGCCTTCTCTGCCCACATGATCCCGCAGAGACACTGACGGTCATCAAACAGGGGGCACACTCTGCCCCCCGGCCCCATGGGGAATCATTCCCCACCCCCCACGCACACCGACTGTATCGACCGCAGCAACACTCCTCACACCAATAAGCCACTGAATCGACCCCGCAACCTCGCACGGCTCCCAGCCAACAGCCTGGCCAGGCCGGCATCATACCGGGTTGGAGGAGAAAGGGGTTGCCCCGAAACAAGGCGATCGTGCACTTCTGCCCTGGGGTGTCGTCCCACCTCTTCGCTGGGACACCCACTGCGCCCTAGACAACAAGTGTCAACCACCGATCACTGACCCAGGGTGCAGAGGGCCCCCAAGACCCCACAGTCACTTCCCGGCTCTAGGGGGCACCAGCCCTCCTCACTTCCCCTCTTCTTGAGCTAAGCCACAACACGGCCAAAACAAACCAAAAATCAACCCACTGGCCACAGCAGAGTGCATTGCTCCTTTCCCACGATGCACTGGGAAGTGAAGCCCCCTGCAGGGAACTTGGCAGGAGGAGCACAGGGTGCAGGAGGGACGAGTTTGGAGGCGGCACCAGGCAGTCAGTCTGAGTGCACATGGCTGGAATGCCGGCGGCAATCACAGCACCTCTGTCAATGGTTCTGTTAGGTTTCACAGGCCTGGAGTCCTCTCCCATTATTACCCTGCACATGGCACAGGAGGAAAGGCATTGATCTAGCTAATCCCAGTGCTGGGGTCTCCTCCAGGAATCTAGCTCTCAGCTGCCCCATCACTGCCCTCAGCCACATGGGCGCCCTCTGCTTCTTGCCAGGTGAGCACAGCCGCCCGCCCGCGTGCCCCCAACGCCGCGAGCTGTCACGCTAGGTTTTATTTCTAATTGCTTAAGATAAGGCAGCGCAAAGCAAAGCCAGGCCTTGGCTGCAGGTGACTCACTACTAGATAAGCCAGGAAAGGGACAGCATCGAAGTCCCTGCAGCAGGAGACGAGAGGTGACATCCCCACCCATGCCCCAAAACAGCTCGACACAACGGGCCTCCCGGACGGGCAAAAGCAAAGGGAGAACTGTGAAAAGATAAAGCGAATAGCGGAGCCAAAAACAGAACCCAGGGTCCCGACTCCCCGTCTTTTATTCTGACCATTAAAGAGCACTCCACCCCAGATCCAGCCATATGTGGAAAAGAGGGGGGCACTGATAGCAACGTCTCTGAATGAGCCATTATGACATGCAGACAACTGATAAGGGAAGCTAAAGGTATTGGCTAGTTGGGTTAAGGATAATAAGGAGAATGTGTGATTTCAATCTATCAGGAACAAAAGAACCTAGCTGTGGTCTAGGTTGGGGACTAGAGCAGGATGGTAGAATTGTCCCTAATAATACAGACAAGGCAGAAGTGTTCAGTAACTATTTTTGTGATGTATTTTGGAAAGAAGCAGCTCCCCTCTACTTTTCACCATACTCCCACTGCTTTAAAGCCTGCTTGGCACTTTCAAAGGTCCAGAAAACAGGCTGTCCCAGCCAAAGAGAGCCCCTGAGATCAGGGATCTCTGCACGGCCGAGCTTAGCTGCTGTGAGGCTGGCTGGGATAGTGGCTAAGGCCGTCAGGACACCTGGGTTCTATTCTTCGCTCTGCAACTAGCTCTGCTGGGTGATCTCAGGCAAGTGCCCCTTTCCCCTCCACCCTCTGTCTTTCTGTTCAAGCTCTGTGGGGCAGGGACTGTCTCTCGTTTGGCCTGTGCCTGGTACAATGAAGGTTCTACTGCTGGGGGCTTCGGAAACGCAGATCACACAGGCCACCTCTTCCCAGGCTTCAGCTCACGCAGCTGTCGAACGGCTCGAAGAAGATGTTGCCCTTCCCCACGGGAACGGCAGGGTCGGACCCCAAAGTGCTCAGCGAGGCCACGGTCGTGCTGTGAACCCACGGCCACTCGGATCCTGCCCCGGCCCGCGTGCATCTCCTTGCTAGCAATGGAGGTCCTTGAGAACCCACCAAAACCCCAGCGTGCCGGAGGTGGACCAGCCCCACCAGCTCCAATGATCCCTGCAAGGGGGCGACCGTGGAAGGGACGGGGGGCCCAGCACAGGCAACGCCCCAGAGAGAGAGATCCAGGAGACCGAACCCACTCTAAGAACCGCCTGCCCAGCCTTCCCCTGCACGGGTCCCCAGCTTCTCCTCTCAGAGACGGCCTGGCATCCTCGGCGCCCCAGCTCGACCCCGAACAAGCAGGACTAGACCGGTGCAAAGAGCTCTCCCCTCCTTCGCGAGCCCTGACGTCAGCAGCGGGTTATTCATTAGCTCGTTAAAGAGTCGGCTGGGGGAAGAAAGCTCCAACCCCCATTCTAGCTGCAGATCTCTGAGGTTGTGTCCCCGATTCTCCTACACTCCCCCCACTCCACCCCCGTTATCCCTGGACTGTGACCACCTCCAAATCCACCTGCCCCGGCTGCGGGTTCCTCCCCGAGGTTAGAACAGGCCCCGTCCGGGCCAGCGCTCGATCCAGCCTAGCTGGAGACGGGCCCAGGTAGGTCTGGCCGAGGGGAGCTTCCCCAGCCCCGCCTGGATCTGCCAGCCCAGGACCCCCCCCCCCCAAAAGCGTTTCCACGGCAACAGGGCCATGGTGCTACCAAGGGGGGTTACTGGAGGGTCTGGGCAGAGGGGCTCTGGGAAGGATGGGGCGCTTGTCATGCAGCTGTCGTCCCATGGGACAAGAGCCCGGCCCCCCCACTCCCACTCACACCACTGCTGAGACTGGGACTCTCGCTGGAGGAGGGGGCCGCACTGGGGTGTCTGGGGGGACAGAGAGGAAGGCAGGGGCTGCCGGAGGGAATGGAAGTGACACAGAGCAGAGCTATGGGGCAGGGACTCTCCGGTGGGTCTGGGGCCACGGGCAGGCTCCCGGGCCCGTCGGCAATAAAACAAGAATAAAACAGCGAAAAACCTGCCACCTGCCCCCCATGGCCCTTCATAACCCCGGGTGCCCCCCCCAGATCTGCACACACCAGCTCAGCCCCACAGCAGGATCTGATCCCATTCCCCCCAGCAACCAGTCACCCGGCCATGCCCCGCTGTCTGTGGCACTGGGACAGGGGGGACGGACTATCCCTCCCCCAGCCCCCTACAGCACACCGAGACACAGACACCCCCCACACTGGGGGGCACCTCCCTGGGCCCGACCCTGGGAGGTGCCGAGCTCCCTCCAAGGTTGTGGAGAGGGAAGGAAAGAGCAGGGACCCCCAGGTGGACAACCCCCCCCCCCCCGAAACGCAAAATCAGGTGATGCTGGATCAGTTACCAAAGGAGCGGAGAAAAGACAAGAGCAGCCGGGCCCAGCCCAAGACTTTCCCTCCCGTCCCCAGCACGGCTAGCTGGCTAGCAGCACCGGTAGCCACATGCTCCCTGAGAGCTTCAAGAATTTCCTCGCAAAGCAGCCTGCCGAGGAACCCCCTTCTTAGGGCACAGTGCTGCTATCCCCCCACCCCCACCCCCCCTTCGCCAGCCGGGGCTGCAGACACTTGTAACCAACTCTTGGCAATCAATCCATGTACTGGCGTGAGCAAGGGGGGGTGATAGAAACAGCCCCCCCACACTCCCCTCCAGCTGCCCTGCCGGGAATGTCAGTCCAAGAGACCATAAATCAACCCAGCCTAGGCCGTGGGCTCAGGCCCCCCCGCATGGGAAGTGTGTCTCGTCCCCCAGCTGGTGACTGTACAGCGTAGCCTGGGGGAGAGACAGGGATTTCCTTACCCCCCCCCCCCACCCGCCCCCCCGCCTACCCCCTTTTACCGTCTCCCGGCCCCCCCGTCCCCCCCCCCCCCCCCGTGGGTTTCATCCCCAGGGAAGGCTCTGGGAACGGCCTGTCCCCAGGCAAGGTCGCCCGGCTTCCACCTACCCAGAGCATGCAGGACAAGCAAACCCAGGTCATCCTGGCGCCGGTTCGGGCCCCCGGCAGGCTCAGCGAGACCGATGGCATAGCAGCCCAGGGCGCGGGGCGGCGGTGGGGCAGCTGGGCCAGATCCACCAGAGGAGATGCCAGCCCATCTCTCCGGCAGGCAGCATCCGAGTGTGTGTCTCGGCCGCTCCGCTAGTCCCTGCCTCCTTCCCCCGTCACTCCAGCTTTTTTCTTCTTCTTGGGTCAGTTCCTTCGCCTCCGAGGAGGAGGCGGTGCCTGGAGGAGAACCCTGCCAAGCGCCTACAAAATCCTCCCCCAGCCGCACAGCCTGGCCCTTTTTAAAGAACCCAAGCGCCCGGATTTCCCCAGGCATCTGCCAGCCCCATCTCCCCGCTGGCACCCCGGGGGGGAGAGAAAACCTGCCCCCAGCAGGGCAATCCCCTCTCCACCTGCCCCACCTTGGAGCTGCCAAAGCCTCCTTCGCTTTGCAGGGCCGGGAGCAGATCCGGTTCCCGGCTCTGGCCCAGCTCGGCGCCGGGAGAGATTCGTTTCCAGGCTGTCGGCAAAGCGTGGACTTTGCCGGGTTTCAACGGGCCATTTCCCGGCTCCCTCCCCCCTTGGAAAAAGTTGGGGGGGGGGAAAAGGTGCCAGCCCGAGACCAAGATCCCCCATGTGTCCCTGGAACAAGGGCAGACTTTGAGCTGCCCACAGCCCCCGCTCAGGGCCTTGGGGGTCGAGTCGCTGCAGACATTCAGCCCTTGGTCTCTCGGGGGGACGGGCAAGAAAGGTAGTACCAGCTGGGGTGGAGGTCGGGGGACGTGGGCACTACTCCAGTGGGTCCAAGCAGCCATCAGATGAGAACCCGCTTTGGAACGGGCCACCTGGCAATGAGAGATGGTGCTAGCCAGCCGATCACCCTGCATAGCTGGGCACGGACAAAATGGGCAGACTTTTCCCGGCCTGTTGCACTTCCCCTATTCCTGCCCAGCTCAGTCCCCCAAAGCCAAAGGACACAAACCTCTGGGGGCCGCGGGATCCCCGCCGTGACAGGCGGAGCCCTGAAAAAGCCCAGGGCAGCGCCAGCCAGGCTGGGACACCGGGCCCCCCTTATTCCAGCAAAGCCGGGCACCGTTCTCCGGCTGCACAGGGCTCCGGCCAGCAACCGGCTCCTGCACGTCCCAACCAGCTGCGCGCCCGGCGCCCCCGAGCCAGGCCCTCGTTAGGAACAGCTTCGCCCTGGAAGCGCATTCTCCCCCCAAGGTCCAAGCCAACATTTGGTTCCCATTTCCTTCCACCAACACACCCGCGTTCGCTCCCATCCCATTTCCACATGTGCCTGGGCCTGGAGAAGCAGGGGGCCGGGGGCCGGCAGCTCTCCATGAAAGACGCAAAGGGGAGGGGAGGGGGAAGGAGGAAGCCGTTTGGGGCTAAACACTGCAAAGGTCGGCCCTTTCCTGCAGTGCGGGGGTGGTGGGAGCTGGGGGACACTGAGGGGAGCTCAGCCTGACACCCAGAGAGCGGGCTGGGCCCTCTCCATTGTCCTGCAGGCAGGGAGGGGGCGCTGTGCTCCTAAAAGCCTTTCCCCCCTCCACAACACCCCCCCCTTACAATGAACTTTTGCCAACCTGCCCGCTGCCAGCAGAGCCTTTATCGAGGCCTGACGCCAACCCCAGCCCCACGGGACGCCAGCTCCCCCAGCCAGCGCCACACCTGCCCTCCCAGCTTCAGTTGCACCCGGACTCCGGCGGAAGCAGACGTGCCAGGATGCCCCGGGCAAGGGAAAGCCGCTGGCCCACGCCAGGGAAACTCCCCAGAGCTCCTGTCCTCAGGAGGTTTCCAGACCCGGCTTGCAAACACCAGGGGGTTGGAGAAACATCTGAGTCCACATGTGCCCGCCTCGCCCCAAGCACCCTGGCTGCCCGGTCCCTAAACGCTCTCCTCCAGAGACGGGCGCCGCCCAGGCTGCGGGGAGAGCGGGCGGCTCGGAGGAGCCAGGAATGGGGCAGAGAGACACGCCCCCGCCCCCTTTAGGGCACTGGTTCAAAGCCAGCCTAAGTCAACTGTGTCCTTCTCCTGGCTGCCTGCTGGGCATCTCCAGCCGCTTCCTAGGGGGCACGTCCCAGCCCCCAGGACTGCAGCCGGAGCCAAGAGCTGGGGCTCCAGAGAGCAGCGGAGTGACCCCTTCATGGACCATGCCAGCTCCCCATGGCACCCCAGCTGCCCCCCGCTGCTTCCTCCCACGCAGAGCGCCCCTGGGGCCAGGGGGCCGTGCCCTCAGGTGCCTGGCACGCGGCTGGGGCCTGGCAGATACCTGGACATCACCTGCACCTAGGCCAGGAGGCAGGAAGGATCCTGCACACTCCCTTTGGGTCCTCTCTCGTAGGGGCGCTTTCCAGCCCCCACCCCAAGGGCTCCCCCAGCAGCCGCCTTGTTGCCGGGGATGGAGGGAGAGAGGCTGCGTGACCAGGCCTGGGAGAGCCAGAAACCAGCCCACACCGTGCCTGTGGGGCCAGAGAATTGGCACCACTACCTTGGCGCATCCCCCTCGCCCCCTTCTCTGCTCACACATCCCCTCCCTCCTGCTCTCCTACCCCCCTGCCCTCCCCCTCGGCATCCCCCCCATCACAGCCCCCCTCTGTCCACCCTGCACCCCCAGGCCCTGCTAAAATAGCCAGAGATCCAGCCCCCCCTCCCTAGCTTATCTGCCCGCCTCCCCTCTCGCTGTGCCCCAGCCCCATCACCCCCCCTCCCGCGCTCAATAGGATCCCGCGACAAAGCCTGCGAGCGGGGCAGGGCCGGCCGAGCCCCTGTTTGTGTTCCCCAGACAATGCTGCCTTTTATACGGGGCCGCGGCAGCCAAGAGCGGGACGGGACCACCCCGGCTCCCTGCCTCCCCCGCTGCCTGGGAACACGCAGCCCCCTCCCCGCCCCGCGCCGGCCCTGCGAGTTCCCCGCACCAGCCGGGCCCCCTTCCCCAAGGGCAGCCCTGGCTCTCGGCCTACCGGCCAGATCAGATCCAACAGCCCCTGGCTCCCGCTGGGGACGGAGGGCATGGCCCATCAGCCCGTGCCCCTCTGGGGAGGGGCTGCAGGAGCAGGCAGGGGACACCCCACAGGCACCGGAGCAGCACCAGGAGGCTGCAGAGGGGGCAGGGGACTTTGGGGACCCATGAGAGAAGGGCTAGGCTGAGAAGCTGTGGAAGAAACGAAGCAGTAGGGTAGGGGCTGCGGCATCAGGACCAAAGAGGGGGCCAGGACATATTGGGGAGGGAAAGCACCAGGGTGCCCAGGGTGAGGCGGGGGGGCAGATGGGGCAGGGGAGGCTAGGACGCGTGGGGAAGAAATGACATGCCCTCTGGCTCTGGGGAGATGAGGAGCTGGAGAGACCATCACCCCTGAGGCTCTGGGTAGAGGCTCTGCCCAGATACCCAGCCGAGGACCCCGGCCAGCAAGGGGCTCTGTGCCCTAGTGCTGCTGGAGAACGGGCATCGCTCAGGGCAGGCAGGCAGAGCCGCGGGCTCCAGGGTCCGAGAAGCACCTGGAAACGAGGAGGCTTTCCCCAACTTTCCAGGCCTGAGCCAAAGCCAATGGAGAGGCTGCTGCAGGCTCCTGGAGGATCTGGCCCCCCAGGACCAGGCTCAGGCAGGAGGTCCCTGGAGCTGGCTGGGGGATGATGCTGGGTGGGCTCTGGGCACGTGACTCACGGCGAGCATAGAGTGACCACGTGTCCGGTTTTCAACCAGAACACGCGGTCGAAAAGGAATCCCGGTGGCTCCGGTCAGCACCGCCGTGCCACGCGGCTCCCGGGAAGCAGCGGCATCTCCCCACTCCAGCTCCTACGCGTAGGGGCAGCCAGGGGGCTCCGCACACTGCCCCCGCCCCAAGCGCCACCCCTGCAGCTCCCATTGGCCGGGAATCGCAACCAATGGAGCTGCGGGGGCGGCGCCTGCAGACAGGGTAGCACACACAGCTGCCTGACCACACCTCCGCATAGGAGCCAGAGAGGGGACATGCCGCTGCTTCCAGGAGCTGCTTGAGGTAAACACCACCCAGAGTCTGCACCCTGACCCCCTCCTGGGCTCCGACCCCCTGCCCCAGCCCTGATCCCCCTCCTGCACCCCAAACCCTCACCCCCAGCCCCACCCCAGAGCCTGCACCCCCAGCCAGAG